GTTTTCACCTAGTATTTCTTGACATAAATTTTCTTCCCCCTCTTCTCTTTCTTCTCCTTCCAGGACCCCTATAATGAGTGTTTTTATGTTTTATGCTGTCACTGAGTTCCCTTAGTCTATTCTTATTTTTTATTATCCTTTTTTCTCTCTCCTGTTCAGCTTGATTGCTTCCGTTACTCTGTCCTCCAGTTCACTGACCCATTCTTCTGCTTTCTCTAGTCTAGTCTACTATTTATTCCTTCCTGTATAAATTTTAGTTACTGAGTTCTTTATCTCTGATTGGCTCATTTTTATGTTTTCTCTTTGTTGAACATATCACTGAGATCCTCCACTCTTTTCTCCAGTCCCATGAGTATCTTTATGAACATTACTTTAAGTTATCGCTCAGGCATATTACTTATCTCTGTTTCATTTGGCTCTCTTGCTGTGATTTTTGTCCTGTTCTTTCATTTGGAACATAGTCCTCTGTCTCATTTTGTCTAACTCTCTGTGTCTGTTTCTTTGTGTTAGGAAAGTCAGCAGTGTCTCCTGCTGTTGAAAGCAGTGGCATTATGAAGAAGGGGTCCCTTAGTGCCCTACAGTGCAATGTTCCATGTTCACCAGAACCTGGTGCTTTATGGTTTTGCTTCCTCTGTGTGTTGAGTGCACCCTATTGTTGTGACTGAGCTGCATTTGCCTTCAGACCAGTTGTCTGCAATGGCTCTCTTTGCCCGTTGTGGGCAGGATTTGGTCCCTATGTGTCTAATGGGCCAGACCAAGGGCTTGAGTCGGGTCAGACCAAGAATTTTTCAGAGCTGTGGTCACACTGAACTGCGGGGTGTTCTTCCTGTTTTGTCCCCTGACAGGCTCTAGTTGGTGTGTGGGGTCTGCAGTCAGACCCGATGTCTGCCCCAGCCCACTGCTGGGGCCAGAGTCTAACTGGTGTGTGTGGTTATCTTCTTCTACCTGCCTCCCCAAGGCAGGAGTCACTTGGAGTGGCGCTGGCCCCTGTGGCAGTTGCTTGCACAATGCCAGCTTGTGGTGCTGCTTTGGATGGACTCCTGCCAAGGGCAGATTACATGGGGCAGGAGAGTGGGGGTTGTGCGGTATTATCAGGCTAATTGGAGAGTATTTGAGCTGGTTCCCACAGGTGTCCTATTTAGGCAGGGATGTAGGGGAGAGAAATGGCGCCCACCAGCTGTTTTGTGTCTGGAGAAGACTCCTAAAGATCCCTGCCTCTCAAGCACACGCTCTGAGATTAGTAAATCTCCTTCCTGTATACCACAGTATACCCCAGGTATTTTTCAAATTGCTGCTTCTGTGCTGTATCTCAGCAGGCCTGTTTGTTATGCTGTCTCTTTAGGGTCCAGGACTCCGTTTCCTATCAAGCTCCAGCTGTCCCAGAGCTGAGCCTGCCAGTTTTTAAGGTTCTAGGTGTTACGTGCCACTGGTTTTAAGGACTGCTGGCGTTAAGCCACTGTGGTTTTCAAAGCAAAATGTGAGGGGGATTTATTTTCCCGGTGTCTGGTGTGGGGTCTGCTCTTCTCCATGCTTGCAGTGACCCTCCTTCCCACAGACAGTCTCATGGGTCAGTTTGGTTCCCAGCCATGTTTGCACACTTCCTACTCTTTTCAGTGTGGCCTCTTCTCTCCGTTTAGCTGTGGTGACCCTGTTCTGTCAGTCTTCAGGTCCTTGTTTGGGTTCTCTACACCGATGTGGCCATTGTCTGGCTGTATCCATGGGATGAGGTGAGCTTAGGATCCTCATATTTTAGCATCTTCCCCAGAAGTTGGCCTGTTTATCTTTTTTATTTCTTAATCATGAAAAATGTTATCGGACAAAAGAGAAATGGCCCTGCCTCCACCACGCTGGACTCAAACCTTGATTTCAGATTGACCGGATGATTCCCATGGATGCAAGTGCAGCGCCTGCTACTGGTGAGTGCGTGCAAACCCCAGCACAAGGCGCACTCCTCAGCGGTGGAAAATCCGAGTACAACTCCAGTTTTAAGGCCTCGTTGTTCTGCGGAAGTTCGTTGGCTGCATCAAGGAGCCTTTTTGCGTCCTTCCTGTACTTGTAGTTGCTCGTGTGTGCCGCGTTTTGCATTTTTGCAAAAAGTAAGCATGAGTTCCAATCATCATCGACATGTCTTGGACTATTTTAGGTTTTGACTGAAATACAACATGGATGGTATTTGAGTTTCATCTTTTAAGTCAGTAACTTTACGGATTTGACTCTCAAATCTCATAACTTGGGCATTCTGAATTTGGCATCTCATCTACTCATAAGTTTAAATAAATGGATCAATGAAAAATGTTGAGACAGGAAGGCTTCTGAGCAAGAGCATATGGCACTCCTCCTTACATGCATAGAAGAGTGAGTATGTGGGAGGATTCTAACTCCACTTCCTCTTGGTGAGATCTAATTCACATATCCTACAGTTCACTCGTTTCAAGAGTACGATTCAGGGATGCCTGCCTGGCTCGGTCAGTTAAGCATCCGACTCTTGATTTCAGCTCAGGTCATGATCTCACCATTTGAGTCTGAGCCCAGTGCTGACAGTGTGGAGCCTGCTTGGGATTCTCTCTTTCTGCCTCTCTCTCTCTCTCTCTCTCTCTGCCCCTCCCATGCACACCTTCTCCAAAATAAATAAATAAACTTTAGAAAATTAAAGATTAAAAAAAAAATTTTTGAAGAATACAATTGAGTGGTTTTGAATGTGTTCACAGAGTGGATTTACAGAGTGCAACCGTTACCATAATTAATTATATGACATTTTCATCACCCTCCCAGAGAAACCGCTATGCATTAGCCCTCAGTCCTCATTTCCCCCCAGCTGCCCCAGCCTTGGGCAACACTTCCTTTCTCTATGGGTTTGCCTGTCCTAGGTATTTCATGTCAGTGGAACCGTGCAATATATGACTTTTGTGTCTGGCTTCTTTCATTTAGCATAATGTTTTTAAGGACCATTTGTATTATAGCATGTGTCAGGACTTCACTGTTTTTATTGCTGAATAATACTCTATTGTGTAGACATGCCACATTTCATTTACTCATTCATCAGTTGGTGGACATTTGGGTTATTTCCCTTTGGGCTATTACGAATAATGTTGCTCTGAACATGTGTGCCCAAGTTTTTGTGTAAGTGTATTTTTATTTTTCATGGGTATGTTCCTAGGAGTGGGATTGCTTGGTTATACGGCGATTCTACGTTTAACCTTTTGAGAAACTGCCAGACTCTCTCAAGTAGCTTATACTAGGGCGCCTGGGTGGCTCAGTCAGTTAAGCGTCTGACCTTGGTTCAGGTCATGATCTCATGGTTTGTGAGTTCGAGCCCCGCATCGGGCTTTGTGCTGACAGCTCAGAGCCTGGAGCCTGCTTCAGAGTCTGTCTCCCTCTCACTCGGCCCCTCCCCTGCTCACACTCTGTCTCTGTCTCAAAAATAAATAAACATTAAAAATAAAAAATAAAGTAGCACGTACCATTTAATATTCCCACTGGCAGTGTATGAGGGTTCTCCAGCTCCTGGCCAATACTTGTTATCTGTCTTTTTGATTCCAGTCATCCTGGTGGTTGAGAAGGGGCACGTGATATGATTTGCATTTCTTTGATGGCTGATTATTGTTGAGCATCTTTTCATCTGCTTATAGCTCGGCCAGAGCAACTTCTTACTATTTGTATATCCTTTCTAGAGAAATGTCCATGCAGATCCTTTGGCCATTTTTAAATTATATTACTGTCTTATTCTTATTGAGTTGTAAGAGTTCTTTATATATTCTAGTGCCAAGTCCCTTATCAGATGTGTGATTTATGCATGTATTCAGCACATTCTGTGAACTATCTTCTCACTTTCTTGATGGTGTGTGTCATTTGAAGCACAGGATTTTAAGTTTTAATGATACCCATTTAATCTATAATTTTCTTTTGTTACCTGTGAAGTTACAGGTTATTGGCGTTGCATTTAAGAAACCATCACCAAGGGGCACCTGGGTGGCCCAGTCGGTTAAGCATCTGACTTCGGCTCAGGTCATGATTTCCTGGTTCATGAGTTTGAGCCTCGCGCCAGGCTCTGTGCTGACAGCTGGAGCCTGGCAACCGTTTTGGATTCTGTCTCCCTCTCTCTCTGCCTGTCCCCTGCTCACGCTCTGTCTCTCTGTCTCTCTCTCTGTCTCAAAAAATTATTAAAAAAAAAGAAACCGTCACCCAATCTAAGGTCATAAAGATTTATGCCTGTGTTTCCTTCTAAGAGATTTATGGTTTTAGCCTGCATTTAGGTATTCGATGCAGTTTTAATTACTTTTGTATCTTTTTTTATGTGACTAGTTGTGCCATCACTATTTAAGAAGATTGTTCTTGCCTCTATTGAATTATCTTGGCATCCTTGTTGACATGATGCCACTTCTTAGGCAAGTTTTTATTTGAGGTCTTTTTTCAGGTTAGGATTGGTGTTGTTTTTGGTCACTAAACGGTTTATGGACAGGTGGCTGCGTTTTACAAATGAATCTTTTACTACGGAAAAAGTACGTGCAAGAATTGCCTTTACTAGAACAACACATGGCAGAAGATACTAGAATGAAGAAGCCAGAATATGTACCTCATCCAGGCGGAAGCAGGGCACTGGATTTAGGTATCCCCCAAACTGATGCTGCTCATATGTTACTGTGCATCTGAGTTCCCTGGAGATGTTGGTAAGATGCAGGTTTCCATTCTCTGGTTCCGGAACGAAGTGTACGAGTCTGCATTTTTAACGAGTTCCAGACAACGTAGTCGGTGCCGGTACTGGAATTCTAGGCTTTGAGTAACAGTGCAAGAGAGGCTTTCTGGTGTGATCTCGTTCCGTGTTGTTCTATCTACTTACTCAAAGTGATTTGGAAAGGAAATAAAAATGTGTTTTTCAAATCCAGTGTGTTCATATTTTATTGAATAACCTTCGGGATAAAACACCACCAGTCAGGGAAATAGAATGAAAGTTTCTTCTAGTGGCCCTTCTGCCAATGGATTATCTTCTGTCTTCCTTTTAGGCCTCTGATGATTGTCACACAGAAGATCACGACCTTGGCATTCCAAGTTCATGATGGTGAGAAGAACTCTCCTTTTGGTTCTGAGAGTGAGCCTGACAGAGACCTTCGTTTAGACTATATCCACAGTCCAGGTCTTATTGTAACTTGTCAGAAATTTGCAAGCTTCTTTAATCAAAGCTTTTTACTTTTCTCGGCTATTATTTACCACTTTTCCTGCTGAATCTGCCGTCTACATTTGCTGAAGTCTTTATACCGAGAAGGGTTTTTTTTTGTTTGTTTGTTTATACCACATTTTAAATGTATGGTGCGCTCTGCCCTTCATTTCTAAATCTGTTGATTTTTTTCTTTGGTTTAATCTGAGGTGCTCATAAGGTAATAAAAAATAGTATTGGCTGATTAATCTTTTTTTTTAAATGTTTATTTACTTTTTGAGAGAGAGAGAGCGAGAGCGAGTGGTGGGGGGGGTGGGCAGAGAGAGGGGGAGACACAGAACCCGAAACAGGCTCCAGGTTCTGAGCCATCAGCACAGAGCCCCATGCAGAGCTCGAACTCACAAACCCGTAAGATCATGAGCTGAACCAAAGTTGGACGCTCAACCAACTGAGCCACCCAGGTGCCCTTGGCTAATCGTTTTTCATGCTGGATTTGTTTTGTTAGCTTAGTGTTTTTGTTTTTGCTTAGCTTGGAAAATTATCTAATGAGATTAGCGTGACCCTTGTCCTAGAAGAAGGAAGAACCTTCTGTTTGTATAAAACTGAACATTTTCTTTGCTCATGCCCTTCCTGCAAATGGCCAAGAAAGTGTGATTTACATGATTAAAACCTGGTTCCAGGGGATGAGTACAGCACTTTCAGCCGGGTGGAAGATTTTAATATGGGCTTAAGAGGTGTCAGGTACAATTAGTAAAAGTATATTCTGCAGATTTGTACTGCTCTGGCAAACGCTTTCGGACGGTTGAAGCTTCTTTATGTGCCAACAGGTTGAGTAGATTTACAATCTCTGTCAGCTAGTCTTATTTTTCTTTAAAGCTCGGGAGCCGATTTAATTTCATTTTGACCCTGGGTATTCCGAGTTCATACTTGGCAATTTAATCACTGTGTAGAGAACTGGGTAATTTCATACCAGGGATGGGGTCTTTCTAGGGAGACCATCTGTCCTGGTTTGCCCAGGACTGAGTGCTTTCCCAGGACATGAGACTTTTAGGACCCAAACTGGGTAAGTCCTGGGCAAACGGGGGGTGAGTTGCTGAATGTTTTTGTACCTAAAAGTCTACTTGGTAGTGGTTATAGACTAATATTAGCACCATAAACCAATAACTAAAATCAATTTAATTTCTAGGATTGCCAGAGATGTATTGTTGAGATCTTAGAAAAAAGTGTGATTTTTTTTTTTTTAAATACTGCCTTTTTTTTTTTTTAATAGGCTTTTTGCCTACATTTACTATTTAAACCATTCTCAGTATACCCGATTTTCTGGAACAACCCTTATATGCAGCAAGATGTTTGTTTGCCGTTTCTTTTTTTCTTTTGCGTGGGAGGAACAAGTAAAATTCAGAAACACTCTGCCTGCCTTTAGACATGTTTCTGAAGTGCCTCTGTGATCGGTGATCATAATCAGTCTTAGCTGAATATACAGTTTTAAAGTCAACTTATGACACTTCAGTTTGAGTATAAGTTAACATCTAAATTTTATGAGAAGCACTAAGGTGATTTTCTGGCATGGATGAATTTTGTTTTATTAAAAATTCTTCGTAATGTTTATTTATTTTTGAGAGAGACAGAGACAGAACACGAGCAGGGGAAGGGCAAAGAGAGAGGGAGGCACAGAATCTAAAGCAGGCCCCAGGCTCCGAGCTGTCAGCGCAGAGCCCAACGCGGGGCTCGAACCCATGAACCGTGAGACCGTGACCTGAGCTGAAGTTGGATGCTTAACCGACTTGACTCACCCAGGCGCCCCTGTATGAGTTTTA